ACTGTTGTTCTTGAAATTCCAGTCAGATTTTTCTGTCTAGAATATCTTTCAATACTCTTTGTAATGCTGGCTTGGCACTCATGAAGGTCTTCAATTGTTCTTTGTCATGGAAATATTTTATTTCTCTGTTGAATTTGAGGAATAGTTCGGCAGGGTACATCAGTCTTGGTTGGAAGCTGTTTTGTCTCAGGACCTGTAATACTTTGCTCCAAGCTCTTCTCAATTGGATGATTTGTGCTGAGAAGTCTGCCGTGATTCTGATGGGCTTTCCTTTATAGGTAATCTGTTTCTTTTCTTTAGCAGTTTTTAATATTCTGTTCTTTTGCTGGAGATCTGGCAACGTGACTATTACATGTCTGGGTGTAGTTTTATTTTGGTTGTGGTTGGTTGGAATTCCATATACCTCATTTACCTGTATACCAGGTTCTGTTTCCATACTTGGGAAATTTTCTGCTATTACTTCTGCAAATATTCTTTTTAGGTCAGTTGTGTTGCCTCCTGCTGTTTCATTGACTCCTATTAGTCATACATTATTCCTCTTTGCTTTGTCTTGCAGCTGTTGAATTGACTTTTCTTGGATCCTTATTGATTTTATGAGATCCTTTCTTTCACGGTCACTAGCTTCCATGCTGTCTTCAAAGTCTTAGATTCTGCTATCTTCAGCTCCATTCAAGTGGTTTTGGCAGCTTTAAATGGAAGCTGTGTTTTCCTGGAAGTCTTTTTGAATCTGATTCATGCGTTGTAAGTCCTTTCTATACTTTTCATTTAATGCTTCTGTCCATTGCCTTGGTTCTTCTATTTTCTTATGTTTCTTCTTCAGACTTTTTGAGCAGTTCTTTCATTATTATTGTCATTTCATTTTTTGCCTGAGAGATTATTTCTGATCTCATCTCTTCTATGGCCTTGTGGAGTTGTTTCTTTACTTGTATTGCAATCATTTCAGCTGTTTCAGGGATGTGTTTACCAAGTTCTCCTATGTCGATGTCTCCTGGACTTGTTCTGAGTGGAGTGGAGTTCTTTTTTTTTTTTTTTTTTTTTGGTTTTTCTCCGGTACCGGGAACTGAACTCACGACCTTGCGCTTGCCAGGCAGGCGCTTTTGCCGCTGAGCTAAATCCCCAGCCCCTAGAGTGGAGTTCTGGGAATGTGTTTCAGTGGTTTGTTTTGTCATGTTTGATACCAGATGCAGAAAGCTCAGTTTCCCTCTTGAGTGGCTGCACAGCAAAGGCCCTAGTTTTCCTGGTTGGTCAGGTTTGCCCCTCAGTGTCTGCTGAGAAGCTCTGCTTAGTCTGGGGTTTTCCAGCAGAAAAACCAGAATTTGATTTTTGATTTGTATCTAGTTATCCCAGGTCTCAGATGCGGGCATTGGTGTCAGCTGATGGCCTACTGTCTGATCCAGCATCCCCTTGCAGTTCAGGATAAGTGCACAGCCCAGACTCGGGTTGCACTGGTATGACAATCCTGGTCCAGTGGACCTATGTCCCCAGTCAGTTTAGGGTACAGGCAAAACCCAGACACAAACTGCAGGTTCGACAGATTGTGAACCACCTGATTCTGTGTCTGCAGTCAGTTCAGGACACATACAGGAACCAGATGCGGGCTGGACCAACGGCAGTCACAGACTGCTGGTGCCTGCAATCCCCCAGGGGGTCTGGGCACAAGTAAAGCACAGACTCAAACCGTGGGACCAGCAGCTCTTGGAGCACTCACTCACTCGGCACAGGGCATGCACAGGGATGGCCAACACATGAACCCCAGTGAGAGCAGTCCCCGGGGCTTCTAAGTGAGAAATTCCTGTCTGGTGTGTTGCAGGGAGGGCAGAGACTCAGATTGTAATCGTGCAGGGGTCCTGGGTCACCTGCTCTGCCCCCAGGAAGTAGATGGGAAATACCTGGCTCTCTTTGTGAGTTTCAGCTGGGAACCATGGAAGTGAGAGTAAAGCATAGACTCAATCCACGGGACCAGCAGCTCTTGGAACACTCACTCACTCAGCATAGGGCCTGCACAGGGAGGGCCTATATGCGAACCCCAGTGAGAGTAGTCCCTAGGGCTTCTGAATCTGTCAACTTATTCTTTTCAAAGATTACTGCATAATTAAGTTGCTTATAGCTCATAGTTTCTGTGAGATACCATACTCTTCATGAACAATGTTATTAATAATCTTAAAATCTCTTTTCAAAAAAGAAATATAAATTTATCAGTGAACGAAATAGAATTAGCAGTAATATTACTCTAGGCCATTCCATACAGCCTTATTAAATCTATTGTGTCCCTAAAGTGGTGGTTGTGACCCCTGAGGTCTACTAAGCCCCTATGAGCCTTGACAGGATTCAAGGCATATAGAAAGAAACAGGCCTTTAACTGATGGTAACTCTCAGAACACTATGGAAGAAAGATGCACTCAGCAGCATCTTGAAAGTCTTCAGTGCTGGTAGTTAGTGTGTGCCAGAGAAGGGGAGTTGAGGGAAGCCTCAGGGACCACTCAAAGTATTAGTTGCCCATAAGCCAGGTGATTCTCCTGGATGGGATAGGTTTCCCTTCCTTTCCAGGGTATTCCTTTGAAAGTGTATTAAGTGTACTGAAAGTGTTTAAATAGAAGGCACAACCTACCCTGTTGGAGGAAGGCCTTTCTATCACCCAGACCATAGAAGTGGTCACACTTTGAGCAAGAATGTCTTTTAAATACTTCATGACAAAACCATGAACATGAAAGGAGATTCCAAAGGTACAAAATGGGTTCAGAAACCACATGAGAGCAGGGGAGTAGAGGCAATTTGTGAAGGTGATGGCAGACATTCATCACTGGAGAGAGGGTCGATGTTCTCAAGGAATGAAAAGGAAAGAAGAACAAAAGGAGAAACACTGGTTGCCTGCCTGAGAGTGAATGACACAGGCTGTCTGCTTTCAAAACCAGATATTATGGCACATATTCACACATCATAGCTCTGTAGAAGGGCAAGTTATATCAGCTAAACCTTTCTAGAGAATAGGAGTTTTATTCTAGAAAGAAGAGTTGGGCTGCAATGTTAAGACAAATCTAAAATCCAGAAAATATCAAGTTAAATAAACAATTACATTTCCATGAGTTATTTTCATGAAATGAGCTAGCATACAATACTATGAAAAATTTTATTATTAAAATTCTGGCAATGAAGATTGCCTGAAATTAAGTTCAGCATTCTCTTCAAATAGTTTTTCAAATACCATCTATGCAGTAAGAAGAACAGAATTCTGATGAGAACACATTTTTCAAGAATTCATCTCCACCTTCCCTTTCACTCAGGAGGTAGCCTCTTATTTGCAGCTGTTGGATGGAACCAGTGAACCGAATAACTGAAACCAATTTGCTGGTTTGAGAAGAGGTTATTGATTCTCACAGCATGTACATACTTAGAAAATTTCGTTGTTTAACTCTACATGTGAATGATTCTTGCCTCACATTACTTGAAGTCAGGCAGACTGGGGAAAGTATATGGACTCACCTTGCTTTATTGAAGTCTTCAAATGAGTTGATAAATATTTAACTGGTCTGAGTGTTGCCTTGAGTTCAAAATACCTGTACATGCTTCTTAGAAAATATTTGAGAAGGTAAGGGATCGTTTTTTTGCTAAGCTTGTGCTTTATTTTGAAGGCAAATGTTGGGAGAGAAATTTCTGTGCATTTTATACAGGATGAAAAAGACAGGGGTGGTGACTGATAAAAAACCAAATTAAATAAATATATTCCTAGCTATGGTTTGAAATTATCACCGCTTGACCTCTTAGTGGTTTACTATTTTCTGAATCCCAAGCCTAATCAATATATCCTTTGTATACTAGCATTATGATTTTATGGCCTAAATTTTTATTCTTGGAGTAAAAGGAACTCCCTCTTCACTGGTGGGAAAGAGGAATAGAGGAGGTTTAGACACACACATATTCCCTGAATGATCTTATGTATTTTGTTGCTATTTTATTTTATTTTATTTTATTTTTTACTATAACAAAAATTCAAGTAAATAATTCACATTCATTGGATGGGTGAAAATGAGCAAAACCTCAGCACATCTGGGGTCCATATATTTTCTGGATGTTGTGTAATATGTAAAGTGGTAAAGGTGTGCACATTGCTAAATATTTTCCTTCAGATCTTTGAAATGTGGGTCCAGCCCCACTCTAATGACCCACCTCTCCACTTTTTCCATAGAAATATTATTATCCCACTGCCATTTTGAATCAATGTGGGCAGCCTTGTTATCAGATGGAAATGATTTGTTGTTCCAAATGACCATTCAAAAGACAATCATTATAAGCAAGTTTGCTAGTAAGCCCATAATTTATAAGGGAGGGCTTTAATTTGTGACAAGGAAAGTTTCTTTCTGATTAATGGAGAGAGACATGTTTAACCCTTACTTGTATGGGCTTAGGGTGGGAATAGGTCCTATGCATATTTACTGACTTGAACTGAAGATCTTTTATTTTTTTTTACTATTACACAATTATGCTATTTTATTAATTCAAAAGCACTTTACAAGAAAATGTAAGTATGGTTTCCAATGAGTATGTTATACCTGGACTCGGTATCAAGGTCATATATTTTGAATTTGCAAGGAAAAACAAGCTTCCAAGTTAAATAACAATTTGTAACCAAAACTTTAATCCCAAAGGGTCTCACAAAACATATTACAAATGACAGCATGAAAAAAAATCTTGCACAGTAATGCAAAAATTCAGCTCTATAATGTACCCATCATATAAGGATCAATGTACAGCATCATGGACATGTATAAGGAACATGTGACCTAGCAAAGGTGAATGTTCTTGAAATTTACCTGATTCTATATCAACCAGGAAACCTCTGCCCAGGGTCTTTTAATATAGAGAGTTATTTTTAGAAAAGAAACTCCTTCACATCTCACTGGGAGGAGGAAATTAGTGTAGAAAAGAATCAAGATAGTATTTTTTCAAACATCTGCATCATTGGCTTTGATTTTATTTTAAACCAAGTTATTTCTCTTTCATAGAAAAGACTATCATATGAACCAGAGAGGGTAACTGGAACCAAAGAAATGACTACAGCATCTAGCTAAAGGCCTGACCTAGGAAATGAGAAGGATATTCAACTCGATGGAGGGGCCAAGACACAAGCAATACATGTACAACTGGGTCATGATAAGGAAAATGCTGTTGAATTCTCTGTTGTGAGTATGAGCACGTGAAGCTTGTCAAACACATAGTCCCAATTTTTTGATCTTGTGTGGTATGTTTTCTTTTTTTGTTACCAGTAATTGAACTCAGGACCTTTTTTCTTGCCAGGCAGGCATTTGTGCCACTGAGCTATACCCCCCGCCCATGTGGGATAGGTTTTCAATGACTATGCCAAAAATACACTAACTGTATAACTCATGTAAGTTGTTATATTTCTAAGACATCACACACTTTGGTGATTAGTAGCTTGGGGATCCTTCTGCTGAATTTCTTGTGGAACCTCTAGAGAGTCAGCAGTAACATTCAGGGGGTAAGACTCATCATCTTCAGACACTGGGGCTAGTTTGGGGTTTCACCTACAGCCCGGTCTAGAACAGGTCATCTAAAACTGAAATTCTAAGACACAAGAGTAAGGAGAAGCCATCGAGAAAGGAGGATACTGACTGAATTTTCCCTCCTTGCTCAAGGGATGGCCTGAATTTAAAGGGTTGGGGAGAATGCTGTTACAGAATAATATTTTAAGTATGTTAATTAGCTTTTTCCCTTTGGGAGCTAGCTCCTGTTGCCTTTGCTCCTCTCCACAACCCCATTCAGGCCTCATTTATTGTATCAGCGAAAAAGGAGTTAAAACAGAGATCAGGAAGTAAAGGCTTTTGATTTTGAAAGACACTGAGAGTCTGAGTCAGGCACTTAAACTTAGGCTTATTTTAGAAACTATAAGATGAATTGGAGCAAAGCTTTTAGTGCATGTAAGGCAGGAGAATTTTGAGTTTGAGGAGAGGGCTGGATCAATGGGAGGAAAGACAATTGGTAGATGCTGCAGAGCAGGTGAGGATGAGGTGACAGGAGGCAGAAGGGTCAAGGGCAAGCAGAGAGTACTCTCAGACAGGAGTGAGCCTTCTCTTCTCAGACAGACACACTGCCCAGAGAGGAGAGTAGTGGATGACAGCAATGGAAGTGCCCCAAAAGGATGCAGAACCCTAGAAGAGAAGTGGCTGAGAGTGTGTAGAACACAGGCCATTAGTCTGAACCAGCTTCAAGGAGTTGAGTAGACATGGGCTCAGCACGCAAATGTTAGAATGAGTCTTCTGAGCTCCAAATTGCCACCAGGACAGTAACAAGGGAATCTTCACTGTCCTGCTGACCCTGTGACCTAAAAACAATCTAATAAAGTCTCCTGTGCCAGCAGCTGAAAGAGTGTGCCACACCTGAAAGAGTGTTAGGCTAAGGAACAGCTCAACAGCAAAGATCTGCTAAAAGCAAGAACATCTCAGTCAAGGTTGGGGTAAATACAGCATCACAGAAAGTACAAAATATCCCTGTGTCCATTCCCCTGCTACAATGTGAATCCCTGGGGACCCAGTGAAAAGGGTAAGGATGGAGAATTGAGTGAAATTATGGTTATTACAGTGAAGGTAGGCCTCCAAATAGATAAATCCTCATGGAAAAATAAAGTTATGTTTCTTGTGCAACTTACCCTATATACTGAAATGTGAACTCAAAAATAAAATCATTCAATCAATAAAATTAGAAAAATATTAGATATATGTGACAAAACCATTCAGCTCTTCTTTACTGGAATTTAGGAGCATTTTATAAATCCTAACCCAGATCTTGACAATGGCTGCATAGCTAGATTGTTGTGTGCAACCTCCTGGGATCCTGGATATAGCTCATCTGCTTATTAAGTGCTGGCTTTGTGTAGGCTCTATCCTAGAAGCTTTCATCACTTTATTTAATCCTTGAAACAATATCTGTTAGATTAAATATGATGCACATTTTACTACTAATAAAGTTAAGATCAGCAGAGGGAAATGTGAGAGTCCTAACAGTTCTGAAGCATTGCCTATGTGACTAGTGGTCTCACAGTCTTTGTGGATAATGCCATGCTTTTCCTTTTTCTCCCAAAAGCATTTTCCTTTTTCTTGTGCACACTTTGCACTTCCTGACCTCTACACCTTTGCTTAAACTCTTCTACTTTATATACTGCTCCCTTCCCTGTCTTTTTTTACACTGTTCCTATTTTCTAAAGCACAATGCAAATTTGACCTTCTCCCAGATGTCTTTCCAGCTCTCTGTTATTATTATCTTACTCACCTTCTTGTTTCAGACCTTCACACTTCATTTTAACTCTATCCAATCAGGTTTGTATCACAGGTGTTTGGTTAAGTTGACGTCAGCTGCTGTGCTGTGACTCTAAAAAGTGTTCCATCTTCTGCATCCATAGCACCTACCCTGAATTTACCATCCTGGATTGCAGCTATTTTGGTACCTGGGACATAAGACAGCCTTAATACATATCTGTCAAGGGAAATTGAACTTAAAATTCTAAAGCATGTAATTAGGGAAGCATAAGACAGATGCTTGAACAGATGTTTAAATGAATAGTCTTTGATTATTTCACTTCTTTTCTTCTTTTTCTCCAACTTATTTCAAAATTTTAGACATACAAAACATTTTAAATAATTATTCACTGAAAACCTAGCTAATGACTACCCAGCTAGTGTCTATAATATATATTTTATTATGTTAATTTTATCTATCCATGTATTTATCCCTCTAGCCCACCTTACAGGCTTTTAAATACTAGTCTTTAGGAGACCTTTGAAGTCAGATCTGAGACTAATTTCTGCTATCAGTCCTGAGTTGTTGTGTGACCTCAGCAATGTTGCTTTACCTACATGGTTTTCTCACTGTGTGAAATGAGGGTAGCTAACAATGCCTACTGCCTAGAGTGTGGCAAAGATTAAATGAGATTATGTTTGTAAAGGGCCTGGCACATGGTATGTGTTCAGCACCAGATAGCAAGAGGAAAAGGACAGCATAAATACTGCAGCTATCAGAACTGTTTTTGCAGTGTATGTGATTTTGGTATTCCTGTTCTCACTCTCTGTTTTAGGCCCACAAGCAAAAGATTCTGATAAAAGATAACCAATGTTCGGGGCTGGGGATTTAGCTCAGTGGCACAGAGCCTGCCTGGCAAGCACAAGGTCATGAGTTCGATTCCCGGTACTGGAAAAAAAAAAAAAGAAAGATAACCAATCTTATGAATTAGAGGTGCCTGGATCCATGAGTGAGCAGGAAGTGATTGAGGCTCTGTGTGGAAACTGCATTCAGAATTTTCTGGCACAATTAAAAAGCCACAGAGGCAACTGTAGAATCATTAGTCATTCACTTTCACTTAGGTAAGATGAGGGATCTTAAATTCAGAAGAAACTTTGCTAAAAATGGAAATGATTAGGGGAGAGCATTGGCACACTCTGCAGCCCTAAATACCAGCTTCAGAACTATTTATGCAAGGGCTTGTGTATTTTCTGAATATAAGCCCTCATTATTAGTGGATACCAGTAGCTCTCTGAGCAAAGGCTATAGAATAGCCCCATTCATAGAATATTAATGCATGATCTCTTCATTATGCTTCAGATTACCTTGCCCCTGAAACAGCACATCAAAGTTATTGCTGGTGAATGCAGAAAAGGGTCACCTTCTTTGCGGTCTCAGACTAAACAGCCTTTGTGACTTGAGAAATCTTATCCCTGTTTTCTGCCTGTATCTGCCCATGCCGACTCATACTACTTAGCAATTCACGTTGAGTGCAGGATGTAATGAATATAGTGGTTTGAATAAGATTGTGGTTTATACCTGTGAACAGCTTTATGAGGCACACTTAGAATTGGGCCTCTTAATTTCAAATCTGTACTAGTATCTGCCAACAGAGTTGTCTTTAGATGAACTGGAAAATATCTTTTATCCTTTTCTTTCTGGTACTTTGAAATTTAGATGGTGTCTCTCATTAATCTGCGGAGCTCTAAAAAATATAACTGCCTTTTAATATAACTCACCTTTTAATCTGAGAGTCAGTGTCAGTGGGTCTTGTGATAGCCCACTGGGAATCTATATTTAGAAGTCTCCACAAATTATCTTACTTCCCAGCCAGAGTTAAGAATTGCCTCTTGGCTATAAAGCTGTATGCTTCTTCCTGAGAAGCGTGTCTTCTTTGAAGATACAAAATCTTGATTGCACTTTTCAGTTTTGCTTTGTTTTCTCTCAGTTGATGGCTATAAAATGGAAAACTAGCTGAAATGAAAAGATAAGGAATCTTTTCAAAGTACACAAGGCTGGTCATAAAATTAAAAAAAAAAGGACAACCCAGTGGTGGCCTGGAAGAGACTCACTGAAATAGAAGAGCCAGTGGAAGTTTCCACATCCCACTGAGAAAGCAGCACTGGGCCATCAGGTAAATGGGCTAGCCTAGAACAACAGGAAGGTATGCAAAACAAAAAAGTTTCCAGAGTTTATCAATTCTAATATATCTATATTTTACATTTTAACATCTCAGCATATGTTACTGTGGCAGCATTTGGAGATAATGGTTATTTATTTTATACAATCTCAATTTTGTTGTTAGTCATGATAATATTACTGGAAAACTTTAGTCCCTCCAAGTTTCAGTCAGGAAAAACTATATGGCTTATTTGAAAAGTTAAATTCTGTTTGTTATCTGAGAACCTGCTGTTCTCATCTGCTGGCTAAAAATTTAAAACAGAAAGCAATACTATCAAAGCTTTTGGTGTTTTTTTACTACAGCTCTCACTATCCTGTCTTGGTACTCTACAAGTATCTTAGACTCAGTGTAATGTTGTATCTGGGTTGGTGTTTACAAGGGAGAATTATGAAAAAGATTTTCAACTCCAAATACTATTCTATTTTTGGTAAATAATTACCAGCTTGGATCCATAAGTATATTGGTCAGCTTTCCTATCACTGAAAGACAACATTGGCAATGAAAATTTTAAGGGTAGAGTTCAATTTAGCTCATGGTTTTAGAGGGTTTGGTGTATGGTCAGCTGACTTTAAGACAGAAACAGCATGGGGGCTGAGTGTGACAGTTCATGGAAGCAGGGAAACAGAGTAGGATAACAGTGCTTGAAATTTTCATGCCAATATTGTGTCTCAGAGATAGGAAAGCTGACCAATATACTTACTGATTCTAGCTGGTAATTATTTACCAAAAATAGAATAGTATTTGGAGTTGGAAATCTTTTTCATAATTCTCCCTTGTAAACACCAACACAGATAGAACATTACACTGACTCTAAGAAGGAAAGGATAAGGGACCAGATATAATACCAGATGCACAGCTCTACAAGCCGTCCAGACATAGCTTTACTAATCTAGGCAGCTCTTGAACCAATCAAATTGACAATCTAGCTTAATCACCACAATAAGCATACATAAAACTGTAGAGGAAGTCCAATAAATCACAGAATTATGTATGTCTGACTTCCATAAAACTCAACTTCTGGGCCCTGAAAAAGGAGAGAAAAACCACTATATATTTAAACAAAATAACATTTTAAAGTAACAATGGCTAGGTTTCTTTAAGAATGAATTATTCCTATTTTATTGGCAATGTGTGAAGAACTAAGTAGGCAAGTGAACAGGTACTGATGGATGTACCCAAGTAGGGTTTTAAAAAAAAATCTTTTATGATGTCCATCCTGGCAACACTTGGGATAATTACAGGAAGGAATCATTATTACATTGGACTTGGGAGAAATAAATCACATTAAAATATCTAGGTGGTCATCTTTTTATTTCCCTCCTTGTGGATTGTAGTTCCCATGAGAAAAAGCCATTCTCTCTAAGTCTGGGTACCTTATCATGTACCTTAAGAACAAGTCTCTTTTCTCTCCCATATGCTACATTCAGATTTCTTTTAAAAGAAGCTTTCAAATATGTACACCTTGAGTTGCACTTCTCCATACTGAAAACTTGTTTCTCCATTGACATATCATTGTCTTTGAGGTTCTGCCTTTCCTTGGTGTCTCCTCTGGATATTCTCATTTGTGTATATTTTTTACAACTATGTAACACAGTTCCCATTTACACAGGAGTCTTAGTTTTTCCCTTTTTCCCAAGTTCAATTATCACTAGAAGCCCTGAGGAAGGAGATTAGGTCAAGGAAAACCAGACAACTAACTAGGAAAAAGGTGTTAAAGGTCATAAAAACCTATGGTTAACAGGTTGAGCAAGAAGATTCCTGAGAAGGGAGGACATGCATAGAATACAGGACTTAAAATGCCTCCACAGTTCCCAAGCACTGTACGTGGAGCCATTCAGAATGTGATATTTTCAGTCCTTCATTTGAATTTGGTGCTGAGCCAATCAGAAGATGCTCTTTTCAATCCTTCATTACTTGTGAGCACAACCCATGAAAAGATACTGTTCCTGGTTCTTCATTACATCTGGAGTGAAGCCAAATCAGTTTTTGATACCTGTGCCAATGCCTTATTTGCATGAAGGAAAGGTCAATCCAGGTATTTTGGATATTAATGACCCCTCCCCCTTATCCCTGGCCCCTCTGTGAGCCTTTTCACTTGCCCCCTCTCTCCCTGCAGAGAGTACTTCCTTTCCCCCTTTAATAAAAATATACCCTTGCTGCTTTTCCTTTGTGTCTTGCTCAATCTTTGTCCAGGCCACCAAGAACATGGAAAAAAGACCCATTGTCTGGTAACAGCCCATTCTCAAAAGTGTCTGGAATATGATAATATCATGTATGATCAAACTACCTAAAGCTGCACTGAATGTATTATGTAAGAGTGACCTAACTCAGAAAACTTAGAGCCATACTCTCACCAACCTGACTGTACTTTACAAGTGCAGTCAAACAGATGCATCAGTGACTCAGGCCCCAGATTGCACTGGTGTCTTGGGCTGATTGCAGTCTTCATGTCTCTCCTACACTTGATGCCAGAAACCACGTCATCCCCATAGAGTACTTATATTGGTGGTGGTTTTGCATCTTTCCTTATTGAATGTCATGATGATAGGATTCAGTCCATTTTCCAGTCTGCCCAGAAATTAGTCATCCAATATGCTGATTTATTCCTTACACTTTGGCTACCAAAAAAATCTAATCTTGCTTTCCTGTATCAATATCAAAATTAATGTTTTAAAATATTGCATAGAACATTTTTGTGACTCTTTGGCTTTTTCATTTTAAGCTACAGTCACATTATAGAAGTCATTTAATATCACATACTCAATTATAGTATCATCCAAACCATATATTTCATTGAGGTTCTGCTTGCATGAAAATGTCTTGGGAGGCCTTCACAAATGCCTTTTGCAAGTTTAGCTATCTAGTGTAGAATGCCTTTCCCTATGCATCTAGATCCTGTACCTAAGTAAATACATAAATATATAATAAATGATAAAATAAGAGAAAAATGGATTAAAAACTGAGATGTCTTCTGTGACTGTTCAGTAATTCTCTTTCTTTTCTCCTCCTCCTCCTTCTTCTTCTTCTTGCCTCCAGAGGACCTTGGAAATGTGTGGCATATGGCATAGGTGTGTGCTCAATGTGCTACTTTCTTCAGGTTTTATTTTTTTATTATACATATTTCCAATACATAATGGTCACATTCTTTATGGGGTGTTGGTCCATGACACATCTTAATTCTTTTTTTAACACCTTCCCTTCCCTGTTCCTTCATCTCTTACTCTCTTTTCCATGTGAGAAAATCTAGCTTCCTACTTCTGTCTATTGGTGAGTGTTTTTTGATCCAAGCATGATTTTTTTATTGAAAACTCAAAGAAAGTCTTGCCCATGGCTCTTGTTAGTGAAAAGGAAAATCAGACTTCTTCTTTTGATAGGTGTATCAAGGACATCTGCTTTGGGAAGTCCCATACACAGCTTATGTCCACTCCAGAGTATTGACTATTTGCTAATCATGAAAATATTATTGCTGAAATGAAAATACTGTTGAGGCTTAAAGTGTGAACCAAATACAGAAAGTGCCAGCTCTTTATTTTAAGCAATTAATTAGGCATCATCTTTAAGTCTGGTGATAGGTCCCACGGTATTAATCAAATCAAATATCACCAGCTGCTGAGAGAACAGGCTCTTTCAAGAAGCATCTTTTACAGCAAAGGGGAGAGGAATATGGTGCTGAAATGGATTTTCTGAGGCTACTGTAGTAGCTAAGGACATAGATTATGGGAAAATGTTACATAGACATCTCTGTAACACATCAGACAAACATGTTGACTAAAGTTAACTGAAGTTGGGGAAAATCCTAGATCTGGAAGCTCGACAGAGCTGGGGTCAACTCCTGAATCTCTTTTTGCTAGTCTTGGAAGATGATGTGATCCTGTGAGCCTTAGTTTCTGCAGCTATAAAGTGGGAGTGACAACTTCTACTGGGCAGGGTTTTGTAAAGATGAGAGACTATGTGGGCAACACCCAGGGCCAAGCTTAGCCTTAGGAAAGACCATACATGGCAGCCAAGATGGTAGCAGTGGAGGTGGTGGATGATTGATTGGGTTCCAGTCTTTGCTGTTGACTTAGCCCTTTTTGCTGTTGGTACCCTTAATCTTCCAGAGCTCGCTCTTGCCTGTCCCTGGGCTACATGATGTTCCAGGGCTAGCAGCCTGTTTCTTCTGTGCCAGGTGTGATAATTAGGGCAGTTTGTGACAAGAGCAATGAGTCATGGTAGCAGTCCACTGACGTAAGTGAGGATGGGAATAGTTGCCAAGGGCAATGTCCTCCAGGGAATTCATTTCCTCCTCCCCCAAGCCTCTTCTCTCCCACAGCAGCCTGAGGTGACGGAAGTGAGCCATTTTCACCTGTCCTCACCACCACACCTACCTGGCTGCTATCAGGCGAAGTCCCAACATGGAGCATGTTTGTTCAGGGCAAAGAGACATTCAGCACCACAAGGAGAACATGAAAGAAAAAGTTCATTTCAGAAGGTGGGAGAACCTGCTTATTTTGTTTAGGTACAAAATAATACTTTTGTGTATTTTAATGGAAAATTAATGTGTGATTGATACAGAGAGCTATGAACACACAGGAGTTTAATGGGTGCCACCATTATCTTTCTGTATGTCTTTTTAGTCATTCATACATAAACCAAAAATGGGGTCACACTACTTTATTTAATAGCATACTTTTCAGGGATTTCCCTCCCTTTGTATTGGTGCTATTTAACTCTGTGGATTTCTACTAATGACGATGGATTAGTTATTTGGCAAAGATGTCTGGAATAAGATGCTAGCACCTAAGATGTGCAAAGCATATTAGGGAGCAGGAAGAAAATTTAAGAATTCATGTTTATATTTTTAACTTTAAAAATTGTGTGTCTTTTATAATATGTAGAAACATGTCTGAAGTTAAAGGGTCATGAGCTGGGATGGTGGCCCCAGAGATTAAAGCTCTTCCCAGTTTACTGCTCCTCAGCTCTCTCCTGCAGGCACCACCTTCTGGCCCTCAAGAAGGTTGTGTAATGTTGCACTTTACATTCACATTCCAGACAGGAATAATAGGAGAAAAGGAAGAGTAAATGGTTTTTCCTATTATGGCTTTGCTTCTTATTCAAAAAGAGCTGTCTTCCTTCTTCTTGTTCAAAAGAAAATGAATTGAGAAGTTAAACATTTTACCTTTTCATCCTCTTCCAAGAGGGGTCAAGGCGTGGGTAACTGTGAACTGTTTGGGGGCAAGCAATCCATATGATTTGATGTAGCCCCCTCCCTAGAAAAATGTGTACACTGGTAGATACACATATATATCCATACCCTACTTGCTAGGCAATTTCAAGAGTGTTCACAGCTAAACTTGTTAGGGGTGAGGACAGGACCCACTCCACAGTGCCAAGTTGAAACTACCACTTAAATGTACTCTGCTCAGCCCACAGCAAGGAGCAGGAAAGTAGTAGAAGAGAAAAGAGAGAAGAGAGAAGAGAAAGTGAAAAGATAAGAATAGGAGTAGTACATGGAGAAGGCAGAGTGGCTTTGAAGGTTATGATGAAGGTAATAAATAGCAAATATTATAATTACAGGAAGAAAGTACAGTGACAAAGAAAACAAAGCAACACTACAATGGAGAAAAGAGAATGAATCATGTAGATATCCCAAGCTTAAGGAAGAATATCCCCCTGGAAGGACTGGATGTGAGCTTCCAATGGGGATGTGAGGCTGGGGGTGAAGGTGACATAGGGCACATTTAATGAAAAACTAGGCCACATCCTGTCCACTTATGTAGAGTCAAGGACATTCATTACCCATTCAAGAGGTTTTTCCAGAAATTTGGTCACTTGGAGATTTGAAGTCTGATAGCAAATAGTTAAGCAAGACAAGCTCAGTTCCATAAAATACTATTGTATGTTATTAAATTAGATATTGTATATAATTTCTAGTGAATCTATCACTGCAGTTTCCCTACAGATTTTTATGTAGTGATCACAACATTTGAAATTATATGAGTTACCAATGGCATACATTCAAGCAGCAAAATAATCAGCACCATCCCTAAAACTGCCTTACTGAATCTACAACAAACATTCCTCAGGTGGAAAAACCATAGATTCTCCCTAGTATCTTTGGCCCTATAGTAACTGAAGAACCAAAAGGTTTTTGAAAGCAACATAGTCATTTCAGTCACATGTATTGTATCTCAACAGAACTTGGTGTTATCAGAAAAGGTCAGCAAATTGGAAAATAATCTTCATGAAAAGAGAAGTAGAAATCATGAAACTGCAGAACTCAGTGACATTTCCAGAGAAACAAATTCCTGATTTCTGAACACATTTTATATCCTGAACTGTTCTATAGAAATTATGCCACTAATTAATTGTTATAAAGCACTCCAAGTGTCACCCAGCAAGTTTCAGTGCTCACAAGTACTTAGCAAGGTAAGTAATTACAGTGAATTTAGATTTTTACCTGTGTTTGACCCAGAGTAAATCTAAAGTGAAACTTTGTAAATGTTAAATAAAGAATAATGTGACAGATTTAAGAGTTGAGTTTTGGAGACAGACCACCTAGGTTGGGCTCCTAGATCCATCACCCATTAGTTGTGTAGTTTGAGGTCAAGTTTCTTCAGTTTCTTCACTTAACTGCCTCAGTTCCCTCATGATACAATAGAGGTAACTACTTCATAGGATAGTTGTGGGGATTAAGTGAGAGAAAATATGCAAAGCTCACTACAGGGAATGGCACAATAAATATTGGGAATGCTACGGAAATCGATGAACGTGCTAATCAGCTTTCCATCACTGTGACAAAATACCTTGAGAGAATCAATTTATAGGGGGATAAGTTCATTTTGGCTTATGCTTTCAGAGGTTTCATCCATGGTTTGTTGGCTCTCTTGCCTTTTGGCCTGTTGTGAAGCAGAATGTCAAGGCATGCACCCAAGGACCTACCTTCCCTCCATTAGGGCCTACCTTCCAATACAGTAGTGCCCCAGGCTGATCACTATCTTGATACTTTTACTTACTGAGTTCCTACTCAGCCTCCAGAGCTTTTTCTGCATAATTCTCTGAGCAACTGTTGTTAATTCCACTGGTGTTTGGTGAAATATAATTTACTATTCATTCTTATTCCAGTAACGTGTCCTCAAAAGTATTATTTTTCCTGCAGAATAAGAATTTCTAAGTTTTCATGTAAACTCCATCTAATGAAGTTCTGGTCAGAGTCACAGATGAAGACAGAAAATCCTCTTTCATCCTTGAACAAACAGGATAAATTACAAAAAAGAAAAGGAAGAAGTTAAGAGGAGTACCCAAGATCTATTGTTTGGGCCACTTTGGAAGATACTGTTAAGAGAGATGACACTAATAGCTGTAATTTTTTAAAAAGACAAACTTGCTAGAGTGTGTAAAAATAATTCTGGATGTGGCTTCTTTAACTGTTGACTCTGTGAATAATTTTTGGAAAGACAGGTGGGTTACAAATGGCAAATAAATACATGAAAACATGTTCAACATCATTAGTCATTTGAAAAATGTAAGTTAAAACAACACTGAGATTTCATCTCACCACGGAGAGAGAATGGCTATCATCAAGAAATCAACTAATAACAAGTGCTGGAAAGGCTGTGGGGAAAAAGGAACCCTTTTCCACTGTTGGTGGGAGTGTAGACTGGTGCAACCACTGTGGAGATTAGTCAGGAGATTTCTCAGTAAACTAGGACTAGAGGTCCCATTCAACCCAGCTATTTCCCTTTTGGGCATTTTTCCAGAAGAACTACAAATATCACACCACAGTGATATATGTGCATCCATGTTTATAGCTGCTCAATTTGTAATAGCTAAATCATGGAAGCAATCCAAATGCCCATGAACTGAGGAACGGATAAAAAAGATGTGATATTTTTACATAATGGAATATTAGCTATAAAGAAAGATAAACTTGAGGCTTTCATAGGAAAATAGGTGCAACTGGAGTCCATACTCATAAGTAAACTAATCAGACCTGCATGTGTAAACACCATATTGTCTCACTAGCATAGGAACCTGAAAGAGTAAATAAAATCTGAAAGGCATAATAGATATTGTGAAAGGGAAGAAACTGCTTAAAGGGAGGGAACAACTGGGCTGAGGGAAAAGAGAAAAAAAAAGAAGGGGAAAAATACACACACACACACATACACATACACACATAGGTAACTGAGACAGTTGTACTACCAACTTCTATTGCTTTACTGAAAGGAATAGTTAATGTTTAATTGTTTGATCAATCTTACATGCCTATATTTGTTTAACTGAGTAACCAGTTTGAAGATAGCAATATGTAATACAATAACTATTGCTAATCTCCTATCACCTTGTCTGAAACTCTGTATTGCTTCTATTGTTTGGGTGTTGTTTTGTTTATGTCTGTTTGTTTGTTAATGTGTTTTCATTCTTTATCTTTAAGGATAAAAAAAATGGGTCTTGAAAACACTGCTGAATGGAAAAAGCAACAGATTCCTTTATAACAATAAGATTCCAATATAATTAAGGCCCATGCATATAAAACTACTCTATGTTTTATAATACTAATGAAAAGACATGGTTGTAATAGTCGCCTTGGAGCAGCCGAAGAATATGAGAGAGATAAAAGGGAAGAAAGAAAGAAAACAAGACAGGTCTTGCTGGACCCAAGAAGCTAAGGATCCATTCTGAAATGTAACTAATTAATTCTCAAGATGTAAAATAAAAAATCAAAGTTTCATCAAAATAGAAGAAACAGGATTTTTAAAATATATTCAAAAATAGAGCTATAGCTTTCTTGGGAAATTGTTATTTATTATTCTCTTTGAGGCTCCAGAAAGCAATTAAGGCTGCTTAAATGAGTACCTTAACTAGAACCAACTAAATATAAAAACATTTGAATGAGGAAGCAGAACCGAATGTATATAAAACTAAGGAAGTAAGGCAAAGCCAGATGAGATTAACTTCTAAAATTCACTCACCAAAAAGACCTATGAACTTGCCACAGATGGACCTCAGGTTTGGCCAGTGAGCATTGCAAGGGAAATGCCCTGACATACAGGATTCTCACAGTCTGGAGTATGAGCCACAAAACTACTCCTAGTGCTAAAAAGCAGCACACATTTTTCTCATTCTGAAATTAGAAAGCAGTGTGTCCCTTGGACTCTTACAAAGAGAGCACTGTGTGATAGAATAATGACATAGAAAACTAATTTCTGCAGAAAAATTCATTCCAAAGCCATGCTGAAAACCAAAATCTTAGCTTACTGTTACAGAGTTTATACCTCTTGGATCTCCATAAAACAATTAGGTTTCAGTTTCAGATCGGTTCAGGAAATATTCCTAGGTGTGGAGTAAACCTGTGATCCACAGACATTTGAGTTCTTCCGCTGGGTTAGGAAGTATGCGACTAGAACTTCTTGGTCATTTATCGCTGTAGGTAATGGAAGAGAGCAGAAGTTTTCCTTTGGGATTCCCTGAGTGCCTCCATTTCTGTGCTACTGAGAAGGTGAAGGGATGTAAGGAGGGAATATTCTCCTCCATCTCCTCCTGAAACACTTTAAGCAGTGATTAAAATTTTATGGAATAAAAGCCAAATATAATAATTTTTGTAGAAATCATGTAAGGTACACCCACTATGTAGAAAGAAATGTCACCATAAAGGTGAAATTGGCAATAAGAGTTTACTGGCATGTGTCTGCAGAAGGAATCCACCCTGAGAAATGATCTCCAGATGGACATTTGGAGAGTGGAATGTGAAGAGAGAGAGAGACAGAGACAGAGACAGACAGAGACACAGAGAGACTGAGACAGAGACAGAGAAAGAGAGACAGAGACAGAGAGGAAAAGGAAGAAAGACTATCTAGTATTCTGGTTTTGGAGCCAGGGTACTGCAGTTCCTCAAGTTCTTCTGAAGCCTGGTTTAAGTAATGCTCAGTGCCATCGAAGTATATTAGATTTTTTATTCACGAAGCAACCTGTGCTTATTAATTCAGTTTACAAGAGCGTGAGAAAGGGACATGTGCTAGGTTGCTGCTAAAGTGACTATAACTATTTCCCTCCCTGAACTTAGGCCCCGTGCGGTGTGACTTTGCAGTTCATCCCCTCCACGGGTGGAAGCTCTTTTTTCACTGCTTGAACCTGGACTGGGCTCGTGATGTGTTTGGGGCAAGGCAGTGTGGTAGAATTGAGAGTGTGCCTGTTCTGAGCCTGGGTCGCAAGAGCCTTGAATGCTCCTCTCTATCTCTGAATCTCTCACACTCACCATGCAGACACGTATAGGTCAAACCTGCTTAATGATGAAGAGCAAGGCCCATTATCTCTGGTCGCGCCAGCGGATCACCAGATAACATCAGACACATGTGTGAGGCCTTTCTAACTCAGCTAGCCTGCAGCCTAACCACCAGCTGACCAAAAGAGCCCCGGAGAGATCTGCTGGACCAAGCCCAGGTCAGCAGAACTTCTCTGCTGACTTCTACTGTGTGAGTAAAAATGAACACTTGCTTCTTTTAAGTCTCTGAATTTTGTCATGGTTGTTAGGGAGCAACAGCTAACTGGTAATTGGAGTGTATCCTAATATAAATGCTATGAAAACAGAAACTTTTGTCTATTACTGTAAATTAAAAATACAAACAAAGATACTAAAAACAGCAGCAACAAAAGCCCTTGGCACTACTACTGTGTTTTAGGACCTAAGCCAGTAAGAATGACAGTTTCTATGAACTTGTATAGTTCTGAATAAATGGATAAAGCTGAATTTTTGGACTTGTGAGATGGAGGATCAAATCCAAGACTGGTGACCTTCAAAACACTGCTGCCTGGGGCTGGGGATTTAGCTCAGCGGCAAAAGCACCTGCCTGGCAAGCACAAGGTCGTGAGTTCAGTTCCCGGTACCAGAGAAAAACCAAAACCAAAAAAAAAAAAAAAAAAAAACACTGCTGCCTGAGATTCCCAGCATTATTTGTGTGGAGAAAAACAAAGAACCCTCAAAGAACTAGAAGAGCAGCGTTTGGAGGCTCCCTTTACATTTATCTTTTTCTTTACATTTACATTTATCAATTTCTTTACATTTATCATTTCTTTGCATTAGTTACTTAACCTGATTTGATCATTACACATTGCATGCATAAACTGAATTATCACATAGTAGCCCACAAATATGTACGATGATTATATGTCGTTTAGGATTTTAAATTTATTTTAAAAAGTCTTACCAGGTGTGGTGGTGCACGCCTGTAATCTCAACACTCAGGAAGCTGAGGCAGGAGGAAATCTGTGAGTTGGAGGCCAGCCTGGGCTACATGGTGAGTTTAAGGCTGGCTGGAACTTCATGGTGAGACCCTGTCTCAGAAAGTAGTCTTGAAATTCCCCCATCATCTGCTAGTTTACATGATAGAGGGCTGTTTTCTCTGGTGTCTTTAATTGCCCTGGAATTGCTTTGCACCTGCTGTTGCGATTTCTCTTCGAGTTCCCCTCTCAGAGCAGTGTTTTCCACTCTGTTGGTCTCTGTCTCATTGCTGCTCCTCAGGCAAGTGACAGGGAGCTGTGCACAAAAGTACTCGTCACGAGAGAAGCTGGGCAATACTAACTTTTAATTGGATTCCACACTGGGTTTCTGTGACCACTTCTGACCTCCTGGCATTTTCATTTCTTTGAGTTTTGTCATCAGTTTTATTGTGAGGAATTTGCGAGGGCCCAGCCCCTCTCTCCTGTGAGTTGCCAGTGTGCTACGGCGTAGCTGAGTCTCATTATTGCCAACACTGCTGGGCTGGCAGATGGTTTGAAAGGAGACTGGGGACCCCTGGGATTCACTAATGACACCTGGAAGGTGCAGCGGGGCATACCTATCTGGGGGCTATCCGGGTGAAAAGTGCCTGTCTGCCCTGCAGCGAATGAGATTTCTTTCTTTTTACAAATGCTAAAAAAGCAGTGCCAGAATCCTGAGGATATTCACTTAAGTGTATAAGCAGGATTTAGGATTCAGCTTATAAAATATGTAGAAACTTTGGTAATATTTCTGTGAAATTAAAATTTTTCCCATGCTCTCCTCCTGTTAAGAAATTGAAGAAAGCATGATGGTGAGCAATTCCTGGAATGGGAATAGAGTGCCTGGATTTGGGACACACTGGGGAATATCTCGGCTCTGCTACGTTAACTAAATGCCTTGTAGCAAGTTGCTTAGCTTTGCTGAGATTTTGTGAAGTGAGAATGGTATTAAATTTGTCATGAGGATTAAGTAACTTAAATGTGTAAAATTCCTACTATGGAACTTGGAGCATATATACCCTTGATACATGTTAGCTCTTTAATTTTTTGCTTCCTTCTCACCCTTTTAGACATTTGATTTTACTGTTGTTTGCTTACTTCCTTGTTTATATAGGCATGTTTCATTCTGTAAAATGAGGGATGGGTTTTTGAAGGCAAAATAACACTTATACAAAAATCTTTACACTGTACTTTTTTACCTAATAATCTCACTGGTGTAACCATGCACTAAAACAATGATCCCA